GCTTTTTATTCAACACAAATGTTCCTTAAATTATCAATATTACAAATGGACAAATAAAATAGATAACTTATGTTTAGTTACTTTATGTAGATTTGTTTGTTTACATGACTTACATTCATCTAAAGCAGTGTTGACAACAGTGGATTCTACTATAATAGCACACATACATCACTCAGATGCCTGGTTCATGTCTATTAGATGTGCTCATTTGCAATACTAATCAAAGATTATCCTGTCAGATGTTAAATAGACATTTAGTAATTGTCTTTAAGATGTATATATGGTTCATGTAAATCCACTTTTGAGACGTATGTGTACTTAATGGAGCTCCCCTGTTAGTTGTGCATTATAAAACGTGTTTTTACAGCAAAATCACAAATATTATGTAGGTCACAGACAGGGTTTAGATTAAGCCGGGATTAGGCCATAGTTCAATTAGGACATTTAAGTAGCTTTTATAAACGTGCCTTGGATAAAAACACTACTGATGTGCATCTTGAGACAAAAAATTAAAAATGTAAGATTAGCCAGTTCAAGTTGCTTTCAGTTAAAACAGCCCAGACATGCATTTTAGTCTGGGACTAGTCTTGACCAGCCTTGTCTGTGAATTTCTTTGCCCAAGAGGGGGGGGGGGGGGGTGTTCACTACTGTGTGTGTGTGTGGTCACTAATGTGTGTGTGCACTTGGATGGGTTAAATGCAGAGCACAAATTTCACCATACTTGGCCACATGCCACTTCACTGTTTCACTTCACTTTAAAAGCGTGTGACTTTTTTTCAGAGCTAGTGATTTTTTATTTCCTCTTTTCTGCCAGGCTTTCGACTCTACCGTGCGACTCCACCACTGGTAAGGGATCGCTTTTGACTCATCCTCTTTTCTACACCTTGCTTCACTTCTGTTTCAGTTTTTATGACCAACTCTTACTAGTGCAATTGGCATGCTGACTGCAGGAATGTCCACCAGAGCTGTTGCCCATGAATTGAATGTTCATTTCTCTACCATGAGCCATCTCCAAAGACGTTTCAGAGAATTTGTCAGTACATACAAATTTATTTGACTAACTTTCAACATATATTTTTTAATTAAATGTAGCTAAAATAAATTGTTTGCGACCACTCTGTACACAATTCCTGGAAGCTGAAAACATCCCAGTTCTTGCATGGCCAGCATACTCACCGGACATGTCACCCATTGAGCATGTCAACAATGTCAATCAACAACCTGATCAACTCTATGCGAAGGAGATGTGTTGCACTGCGTGAGGCAAATGGTGGTCACACCAGATACTGACCGGTTTTTGGACCCCCCCCGGACCCCCCAATACAGTAAAACTGCACATTTTAGAGTGGCTTTTTATTGTGGCCAGCCTAAGGCACACCTGTGCAATAATCATGCTGTCTAATCATGGGTGTGAGAGAAAGGGAAGTTGTCAGAGAGAACAGCAGGGGTTGCAGAGTCTTCTGGACGAATCCAGGTCTCAGTCAAGCCCAAGATACTAAGAGGTCACTGAGAAGCAATGGCCAGAATTAAGTTTGTTGACAGCTGACTGACAATTCCAGAGACCCACAGAAAATCTTTTATTGTACTATTGAATAAAATATTAGTTAATTATCAAATAAAGAAAAAAAAAATAGCCATAATATGGACTTTTTTTAAATGCTGTGATACTATGATGCTTAGATACTGTTATTTCCTTCTCACATTGCTGATTTCACCATTAACTCTTCACCTGAACAGTTTATGTTTTGTAAATGGTATCATTGTAATCCTTGACCATCAAAGCATAGGGGTAGATGTCACCTTTTCTGTGTTATCATGTTTGGTTCAGGAGATATGACACAAAATACATAATTTGGTTATGGAGGAAAGTAAAATGGTCGCCATGGCAACCACGAGGTGTTTTTGCGATGGCTCCATTTCTGAAAATGTTCAGGGCCCTAACCTGTACAACTGTACCAAGTTTCATGCTTTTATGAAAAAGTGAACATATCACCTCACATTTTGCACATATCACCTGGACTATACATCTATTACTAGCCATTCAGTACTAAACCTCATGGCCCTGACAGAGACGTGGATCAAACCAGAGGACAATGCTACCCTGCAGCACTCTCCAATAATTTCTCTTTTTCCCACCCAAGAGGTGGAGGTACTGGTCTGCTTATCTCTAATGATTGGAAATTTATTCCTTTACCTTCTCTGGGTATTAACAGCTCCTTTGAATCACATTCAGTCACTATTACCCACCCTTTCAAAATCCATTTTGTAGTTGTTTACCGATCCCCAGGACCACTAGGTAACTTCTTGGATGAATTAGATGTGCTGCTGTCAACCTTTCCTGAGGATGGGACTCCCCTAGTTATGCTTGTAGACTTCAACATCCACCAAGATAAACCTCAGGCTGCAGACTTCCACACTCTGCTTGCCTCTTTTGATCTCAAGCGAGTGTTAACTATGGCTACTCACAAATCAGGCAACCAACTGGACCTTATTTACACACCACACTGCTCAACTGATCATGTGCTGGTTACTCCACTGCACACCTCGGATCACTTCCTCCTCACTCTTAACCTCAACATGGTTCCTGACACAACACATACCCCTCCAAATGTCATCTTTCGATGTAACCTACACTCACTCTCACCTTCCTGGCTATCTGATGGTTTCATCTTTGCTTCCTCCTCCTAAACCAGGGGTCGGCAACCCGTGGCTCCCGAGCCGCATGCCGCTCTTTCATCCCTCTGCGGTGGCTCCCTGTAGCATGGGTGTACAATACGCGGGGGAAGTGTCCCCCCGACTTTTAATAAAACCTAAACTTTTCCCATGCACGTTTTCTCGGGTAAATGTGTTCACGTAGAGGTTTTCAAGGGCCAATGTGTATAAATCTAGATTTTAATTAAAAGAGACAATATAGTCACGTTGTTTTGGATACGTTTTATTCTTATCCAAAACGATGTGAACATCACGGAGCGCTGAACACTCTCATGCGCTGTATGCTTCATTCACTCGAAGCTGGAGGGAGCTCTCGTACAGAAAGTCCAAAACGGACTCATATGATAGAAATGCGCTGTAGGTTTCATTCATACTCGAAGCCGGAGGGCGCTCTCGTACAGAAAGTCCAAAACTGACTCATATGATAGAAGTAACTTTTGATGCCAGGAAATCCCTAATATGGACAAAGGCATCCCGCTATCGCTGTAGCTAAGCGGAATAACAAGCATAAACCTTAAGTGATGAAACGTAAAGACAATAAACGATTGCGATATGGTTTATGTGTGTATTTCAAGTTTTTTATATGAATGATACAGTGGTAATTGACATAGCATTAATTACAGTACAGAAGCTATAAAATATATTTTTGGCCTTATTCTGTGATAAAAATGGAAAAAGTGTTTGTAGTATATAAACTATTATGCTGATTATACAATCAAAACCATAAAATTTTCATTAGTAAAATATATATCAAAAATATTATAAAAGACAAATGATTGGTTATTGTCCAGCAGTGTATTTTATTTCTTAGCCAAGTAAAATTAAGAGATAAGAAAGTTTTTTTTTTGTCAATTAGACATACACAAATAAATATTATTAGGCCTATTATTATTATTATTATTATTACATTTGACATTTCTGTCCCCCTCACTTCTGAAATGATTGCTACTCCCCTGCCCTGTAACATAACTGAATATAACACTTTAGCTATATGCCGTGTTATCTTTATTTGGGGATCAAATATTTTGTGGCTCCACGACCGAGACTGCCTTGCTCTCAGTTGTTGAAGCCCTAAGACTGGCAAGAGCGGATTCCAAATCTTCAATACTTATATTGCTGGATCTGTTCGCTGCTTTTGACATGGTTAATCACCAGATCCATTACTGATGCCATGTAGACAGAGAAGAGAAGTGGTCCAAGAACAGAGCCCTGAGGCACCCCAGTAGTTAGATGTTGCGACTTGGACACCTCACCTCTCCAAGATACCTTGAAGGACCTATCGACAGGAGGATGGTTCCATCAAACCCATCGTTTCATCACAATTTCACCATCCAGTTAGTCACATCAACCATGACTCCTTCAAAAACAACCAGAAACCTTGGAGTTATGACCACATTGCTAAAAACTGCCTGGTCCTGCAGAAGATCAGGCCCTTTCTTTCGGAACATGCTTCACAACTCCTTGTTCAAGCTGTTGTTCTGTCTAAGCTGGTCTATTGCAATGCTCTCTTGGCAGGTCTTTCAGTCAGTTCTAGCAAACCTTTATAATTAATCCAGAATGCGGCAGCAAGATTAATTTTTAACGAGCCGAAAAGAATGCACGTCACACCTCTGTTT